GGGGGCTCGGGGGGGCAGCGGCCGGGGCGGCCCCGGCGCCGCGGGACTCACCCGCCTCTGGCGGTGCCGGCCGGCGGTTTCCTGCGGCGGCGGCGGCGCGGCGCGGCGGGCTCGGCGCCGCTCAGGTACCGCCGCAGGTACTCGGCCTTCGACAGCCCCGGCGCCGCCATCGCGCTCTGACGTCAAACTGCTGCGCCGGCAGGAAGGGGCGGGGCGTAACGTGGGCGTGGTCACTGCCATTTATGGAGATGTGGCAGGATGGGCGTGGCCAGGCCGCGGAAAGCCGTGAATGGAGTGGGGCGGGGCTGTGGGCGTGGCCAACCGGCAGCAAATGCCATGAATGGAGCGGGGCGGGGCTGTGGGCGTGGCCAAGCAACAGCCAGCACCACAAATGGAGCAGAGGGCGGGGCTGGAGGCGTGGCCAAACGGCAGCAAATGCCATGAATGGAGCGGGGCGGGGCTGTGGGCGTGGCCAACCGGCAGCAAATACCATGAATGGGGAGGGAGCAGGGACGTGGGCGTGGCCAAGCAACAGCCAGCACCACAAATGGAGCAGAGGGCGGGGCTGGAGGCGTGGCCAAAAGTCAACTAATACCATACATGGAGCTGCCAAGCGCAGCCAAATGACGGCCCATGCCATAAATGGAGCTGCGGGCGGGGCTGTGGGCGTGGCCAAACGGCAGCCAATGCCATACATGGACTTGTGGCAGGATGGGCGTGGCCAAGCCGTGGAAAGGCCATTAATGGAGCTGGGGCGTGGCTGTGGGCATGGCCAAATAGCAGCCAACACCATATATGGAGCTGTGGGCGTGGCCTAACAGCCCTGATACCATAAATGGAGTTGTGGGTGGGGCTGTGGGCATGGCCTAACTGCATACAATACCATATATGGAGCTATGGGCAGAGCTGTGGGCGTGGCCAAACAGCAAATGCCATAAATGGAGCTGTGGGTGGGGCTGTAGGTGTGGCCTAACTGCACCCAATACCATAAATGGAGCTGGGCGTGGCCTCGCAGCTGTTGGGGTTATGAATGGAGCAGCAGGACACGATGCCATGGGCATTCCCAATCAGCTTTATTGGGGAGCCACCTCAGGGCACAGCCCGCGGGAGGCACCGGCCCCAGGCAGGGCAGGAACAGCCCCAGCCCCAGGCAGGGCAGGAACAGCCCCCGGCCCCAGGCAGGGCAGGAACAGCCCCCAGCCCCAGGCAGGGCAGGCAGCCCCGGCCCCGCAGGAGCTCTGGTCCCGGCGTGCCTGGGGAAGGCCCAGGAGGGCCCCGCTACCGGCCCGAGGCCGGCTGGGGCTCGTAGCCCTCTGTTCTCATGTCGTTGAGGCCCAGCTCCTCGTTCTGCTCAAAGCTGCGCTCATAGCGCTGCACGCGCAGCTCCGGGTCCTCCTCGGGGGCGTACACGTTCTGTGGGGACGGGGGGAGACGGGTCAGCATCCCAACAGGCCCCAACCTGCCCTCGGGCACTGCCCCTGCACTGCCCTGTGCCCTCAGGCTCGGGCACCAGCACAGGCTGGCAGCCCCACACAGCCAGCAGGGCTTCCAGCATCTGCTAGTGCCCAAATCTCCAATTTGAACCCCTCTGCCACCAGGGAAATACCCCCCCAAACTGCCCGGGAGCCCACCCGGGGGGTACCTGAAGGTAACTGTTGCCTGCAGGGTCATCCATGATGAAGTGAGCCTGGGCCCTGCCCTCTATGACCTGCAGGGACACAGCACACCCCGTCAAGGCTCCTGCCAATCCTCCAGCAGCGCTGGCACCCGCGCAGAGCACGGCAATGCAGAGGGAACTCACGTCCTGCAGCCTGCCCAGGAACTCCTGCAGCTTCCCCGCGCTGCTGGGCGCGCAGCTGTCCCCCAGGGTGAAGGGGTTCTTCTCCACCTGCAGGGCAGGGGAGGCAGCTGTGAGCAGGCAGCCCCCCAGCGGGGCCGGGAGGGCTGAGCCCCCCGAGCACTCACCAGGTCCCTGATGTCCTTGAGCAGCCCCTCCAGCGTGGTGAACTTGCCCCCCAGCGCTCCCATGCCCAGCTCGAACTCCAGCTCGGGGATCTCCACGCTGCACGTCTCTGACTGCAGAGGGGAGCCCCCCGTGAGCCCCCGCAGGGAGGGCTGGGCCCCCCGGGCCCCCCGAGCCCCCCGGAGCACGGGGCAGGCGTCCTGGGCACGGCACCTTCAGGATGTCCCTGCTCATGTCCGACGGGTCCGTGATCCTGAGGGTGATCCTGGTGCCCTGCGGCTCGATGGCTCCTCCAGACTTCACCTGGGAGCAGCTCCGTGAGCTCACAGCCAGCCCAGCCCCGTGCCCACCCCAAACCTGACACAGCTCACACAGCACCTCCTGGCAGTGCCCCCAGGGGCATCTCCCTCCCCAGCAGCCCCGCTCAGGGACACAGGCACAGAACCCCAGCCCCTGCTCACCTCGTTGGTCCTGTGCCCGCAGGAGTCACAGTTGGTGGCCATGATAATCACCTCCTTGAAGTGGGGGATTTCTGGAGCAGGCAGTCAAGGCAAACACAAAGCAGCAGCCGAGGGGTGGCAGGACCCCGGAGGGAGCTGTGAGCAGCCCCGAGACAGCCCTGCAGCCCCCCTGAGAACGCCCCAGGCCCGAGGAGCAGCAGGCAGAGCCCAGCCCAGCCCCGAAGGATACGCACTAACTTCATGTTGGTGCTGGCCGGGGCGTTGCACTCGGGGCAGTTGGTGTTGAACTGCAGCACCTGGCGCGGGGAAGGGGCAGCCAGCAGGTGCCAGGCAGCCTGGCACAGCCGCCCTGGCTGTCCCCGAGCCCTGCAGCAGCACCCACCTCGTCCCTCAGGTCCTCGGCGGCGTCCGGCGGCTTCGCGTCCGGCTGCTCCCCCTGCAAGGGCAGCGTCAGCCCCGGCCCTGCTGGGGGCCCTGCTGGGGGCCCTGCCGGGGGTCCTGGGGCTGCAGCCTCACCTCCAGGCCCAGCAGGGCACACTGCTGGGGGCTCCTCCTGTAGTGAGTGACCAGCAGCGCCTCGTCCCTCTGCGGTGCCCGCGGGTTCTCCACGAAGCTGTTCCCGGAGGGGTCGTCCAGGATCTGCAGGAGCAGGGGGTGAGGGAGCTGCCCTGCAGCCTGCCCCGGGCAGCCTGAGCACCCCCAGCACTCACAAAGGTGAAGGGGGCCCGCACTTCCTTCAGCTGCCTCAGTTTACCAATGAACTCGTCAATCTTCCCGGCCACCTCTTTGTCCGCCGCCTGGAAGGGGACATGGGAGCACAGAGTGCTTGGAAGGGGGACACCCCGGGGGGCTCAGCTGCTGCAGGGCAGCCCAGAGCTGCTGGGGGTGACCCTGGCACGGCCCAGAGCTGTCCCCAGCAGCCTGTGTGACCCCAGGGCACAGGGGATGGTCCCCCCTGAGCAGTCCCCTCCCCAGCCTTACCCTGCGGGCGGGCTGGTCCTGCTCCAGGCCTGCCACAGCCCTGTCAATGATGCCCTCGATGGTGGTGAGCACTGGGCAAGGCAAGAACACAGAGCTGGTGACGCCGCGAGAGGGCCCAGGGACCCCCGGGAGCCCCCCGGGCGCTGCTGCAGTCACCCACCTCCCTTCTGGCTGAAGGCAGGCACCTCGAAGTCCAGCTCTGGGATTCGGGCCGAGGCGCAGTCCGTCTTCACCACCTCCCTGTTCAGGTCCTGCAGGCAGAGGCAGCGAGCAGCCTGAGCCCCCAGGAACAGCCTGAGCCCCCCAGGGGAGCAGCCTGGGACCCCCAGAGCAGCCTGGGCAGCAGCAGGGCGGGCAGTGCCCACCTGGCGCGAGGTGACAGCCAGGCTGTAGCGCACGCCCTGCTCCTGGATCCTGCCCGCCGCCTGGATCTCGGTGTTGGCCCAGCTGCAGCTGGGGCACGAGAAGGAGCTGACGATGATCTCCTTGAAGAAGGGGATCCTGGTGAGCAGCAGCCGGGTCACTCCCTGCGGGGGCAGCGAGGGGACTCGTGGGAATGGAGCCTGGGGACTGCCCCGCACACCTCCCCTCAGCCCCCCCGACCCCCCGGGGCCCCTACTCCCACAGCAGCTCGGGTCTTTCCCTGCTCCTGCCCCCTCTGGAACCCCCCCGGGCCCTGCCCGCTCCTCCCCGGGGCCACTGGGACCCCTGAGCCCGGGCAACAGAGGGGTCTGGGTCCCCTGACCCCACAGACCCCTGTGTCCCCCAATTCCTGCACATCCCTAACCCCACAGACCCCCTGGACACCCTGCCCTGCTCTCTGCTGACCCCACAGCCCCCTGTGCCCCCCAATTCCCGCACACCCCTGACCCCACAGACCCCTGCACACCTTGCCCTGCTCTCCCCTGACCCCTGTGCCCCCACATCCCTGACCCCACAGCTCCCTGTATCCCCCTGCCCTGCTCCCCGCAGCCCCCCGTGCCCCCAGTCCCCGCAGGCCGCCGCCGCCGGGCCGGCCGGGGCCCCTCACGTTGCGGTAGCAGTTCATGCACAGGGACTCAATCTCCGCGGGCCGCTGCTCGCCGTCCTCGGCGCTGAGGGGCCGGAACAGGGCCCCGCCGGGCGCGGCCGCCGCCTCCGTGGCCCCCAGCGCCGACATGATGGGGACGCGGCGCGGGGCGATGACGTCGATCACGTGACGGGTCATGTGACGCGCGCGGGGGCCGCGATGGCGGCGCCCTTGTTGGCGATCAGCCGCGGGCCCGGCCCGGGATCCACCCGGGATCAGCGCCGGGATCCAGCTCGGGATCCTCCCCGGGACCCTCCCCGGGGCTCTCCCCGCCCCGCCGGGGAACCCCGGGCACGGATAAAGGCGTCACTCCCCAGATTCTGAGTGTCCCCAGGCAGGGACAGAGGTGTCCCCCCCGCTGTCCCCGGGCGGGGCGCGGCACTCGCGCTGTCCCTGCCCAGCTTGCCCCGCTCCGGGCTGGGCTCGAACCTTCCCCGCCCGGCCGGGCAGCCCCGGCTCCTCTGTCTCTGTCCCCGGGGGCCAGCCCGGGCAGCCGCGGCTGCGGGCGAAGTCCGGGGTGAAACGCCGAGCTGCCAAAGTCCCCGCGGCTCCCTGGCCTGCGGCGACACGTGCGGCGGCTGCAGGCAGCGCTGGCCGTGCCCCATCCCGTCCCATCCCGTCCTGCCCCGTGCCAGCCCCGGCTCCTGCCGCAGCCCCTCGCCCCCTGTCCCCAGCCCGGGGTGTCCAAGGAAGGAAGGACAGACACACGGAGCAGCAGCACGTGCATCACAAGATTTATTTCTCCCACCGGAGGCGCGTGGCCGGCCGGCTCTAATCCTGGGGGGGCGCGGCGGTGCTGAGGAAGGCGGCCACCTTCTCCCGCACCTCCTTCTCCAGCAGCTCCAGGTGATCCTCCACGCCGGCCGCGCCCGAGTCCAGCTTGCCGCGCATCTCCTCCAGCCGCTGCACCAGCTGCCGCCCGAAGCTCTCCCCGGAGGGCGCGGCCTGCTGCCGGAAGGCCTCCAGGGCCTGCCCCACGCGCTGCTCCAGCTGCTGCGCCAGGGTCTGCAGGCGCTGCTGCAGGCTGCCGGCTTCGCCGCCCGCCGCCTCGCGCAGCTCCCGCGCCAGCGGGCTCAGCTGGGCGCGCAGCTCCTCCGAGCTGGCGGCCAGGCGGGCGCGCAGCTCCTCGGCCGCCCGCTCCATCTGCGCGCTCAGGCCCTGCAGCTGCCGCTCCAGCCCGCCCTGCAGCTCCTGCGCGTAGGGGCTGAGCCCCCGGCGCAGCTCGGCCACGCTGCGCTCCACCTGCGCCCGCAGCTCGTCAGCGTTGTCCTGCAGCCGCCGCTTGACGCTCTCCACGCCGCCGTCGATCTGCTGCTGCAGGCGGTCGGCGTAGGGGCTCAGCGAGGCCTGCACGCTGCCGGCGTTGTCGTGCAGGCGCTGGCGCAGCTCGGCGGCGTAGGGCTCCAGCGCCCGCTGCAGCTCGCCGGCGCCGCGGTCCACGCGCTCGCGCAGCTCCTCGGCGTAGGGGCCCATCCTGGCCTGCAGCTGGCGGATGTTGGTGCCGATCTGCTGGTGCACCTCGTCGGCGTAGGGCGCCAGCTTGGCCTGCAGCTCGCGCAGCTCCCGCTGGATCTGCTCCTTGAGGCGCTGCGAGTCCTGCGCCAGCCGCGCCTGCATGTCCACGGCGAAGGGCACCAGCCGCTCCTGCAGCTCCTCGGCGTAGGCGCTGACGCTCTGCAGGTTGCTCTTCAGCAGGGTGCTGGGGAGAGGGGACAGTCAGGGCCGCTGTGCCCTCCCCTCTGAGCCCCCCGAGCCCCCCGAGCCCCCCGGCCGGGCTCACTTGAGCTGCTTGCTGAGCTCGCTCTGGTGCAGCTGCTCCACCGTGTCCTTGGTGCTGCTGCCCAGCTCGGTGAAGTACTTCCAGATCACGCCGGCCACCTCGTCGGGGTTCACGTCAGCCCGGGAGCCTGCAGGGGGAGCCGGGGTCAGCGCTCACGCGGCCCCGGCCCCGCGGGGACAGCGGGGACATTGCCAGCGCCGCCCGGGCAGCGCCACCCTGCCGGCGCCGGGGAGCCTCACCTGAGATCGCGAGGAGAAGCAGGACAAGGGCGGCCGCCTTGGGCGCCATCCTGAGCGCTGGGGACTCCTGTGGGAGCAGAGAGAGGTCAAGGAAGGCCCAGGGACCAGGAGCAGCAGCCAGAGGCCATGGAGAGCCGGGCTCCCCCTCCCGGTCCCTCCCGGTCCCTCCCGGCTCCTGCAGCCCCTGCAGCCCTCACCTGTGCTGCCAGTGCCGCGGTAGCTGCAGGGCCGGCAGCTCCCAGCTCTATTTATGCAGCCCCAGCGCTTCCACGCAGGCTGTGACACAGCCCGGGCTTGGACTTTAGCACGGGCACAACGTGGAAGGGCCTGACGTGTGCTCGGGCCTGACATCACCCAGAGCCCGGGCATCACCCATGGCCCCGCCGGCGCCCGGGGGGTGACAGGGACAGAGGGCTGGGGGGACACAGGGCACCCCGAGCCCCTCCTGGGGACAGGGACCGGGGCTGGGGACACCCCAGGGCTCTGTGGGTGCAGCACTGGCTCTAACCTGCCATGGGTGGTGGGATGGGTGGCAGCGTGACAGGACACGGGGGCTGGGGACGCTGCAGGGACCTCCCAGCTCTGCCACCAGATGGGCAGGACAGGGCTCGGGGCAGGACAGGGCTCGGGGGCTCAGGGGGACGCTGTGACGGAGCCGGGGACACACAGGATGCCATCCTTCCCTCCCAGTCCATTCCTAGAGGGAGCCCCGGCACAGGAAGAGGCACGGGCACTGCGGGGCACTGCAGCCACACGGTGCCTGGGAACGCAGCTGGGCCCCGCGCGTGTCCCCAGCCGTGGGCACCGGGCTCTGGGCACCCGCCGGGGGCAGCCCCGGGGGCAGCGGGGCCGCGGCGATGTCGCTGCGGGCAAAGGGCAGGGCGGGCGGGGGCAGTGGCAAGGTCCGGAGAGCCCCGCGGTGCCCGGGGACGGGGCCGCTGGATGTCACCCGTGTGCCGTGCGCGCCCGGGGCTGCCCCTCCGCGGGCTGGCTGCGCTCACGCGTGTGCCCGCGGCTCCGCGCACACGCACGGACACGCGGGGCCCCGGCGGGCTCCGTCCCCGCGGGATTTCCCAACTGCTGGCAGGACGCGGCGCCCCTGCAGCCCCCCCGCGCCCTGCCCCGACCTTTGCACGAATCCCCCGGAGCTATAAAGAGGGAGCCCGGGGCCGCCCCGCGTCACACAGCCCGGCGCAGGTGAGTGGGGACATCCCTGGCGAGGGTGGTGCTGGCAGAGGGACGGGCTCGGGACCCCCCCGTGCCCCCCCTGCGCTGCCCCACATCGTGCGCTCTGCTCTCCCCCCAGCCATGAAGGTGTCGCTGCTGTTCCTGCTGGCCTGCACGGCCGTCCTGGCGCTGGGAGCACGTAAGGGCCGGGGGGCTGCGGGGCTGGGGGCACACACGGGGGGCGCAGCCCGTGCCCCCCGTGCCAGCAGGCTCGCTCTCGCAGGGGCCGACTCGCCGGAGGAGCCGAAGGCGCTGGTGCAGAAGGTGCAGGAGCTGGCCCAGAAAGCCACGGCCATGGCCAAGGAAGCCTTCAGCAGGGTGCGGGAGTCGGAGGCGGCGCAGCAGGCCAGGTGCCCCCGGACCCCGCCAGCCCTGTCCCCGTCCCCATCCCCGTCCCGGTCCCCGTTCCTGTCCCCATCCCCGGCCCTGTCCCTGTCCCCGTCCCCATCCCCGTCCCTGTCCCCGTGGAGCGGGCCAGGCCCCGCGCTGACCCCCTGCCCTCCCCGCCCTCCCTTCCCCTCCCTGCAGGCAGTGGCTGTCGGACAGCGCGGAGCTGGCGAAGCAGCGGCTGGTGTGGCTCAAGCAGCAGCTGGCCGAGCTCCTGAAGAAGACTCCGCCCGCGTAGCCTCGCCAGGGGCTGCCCGGGGTCTGTCGGGGACCCCCCCCCGATCCCCACCCGCTGCCGTGGTGCTCTCAATAAAGCGGGGCTGTCGCAAACGCTGTGGTGGCATCACTGGGGCTGGCAGGGAGGAGTGGGACCCGCGGGGGGAGCGGGGGCTGGGGCAGACACCAGCACGGGGTACACACGGCCGTGTCGGGCTGCCCAGGGTGCCAGGAGCCGGGTGCTGCTGCCAAAAACTCCAAATTCAGTGCCACACTCCCCAGCGCCCTGAGTGGGGCTGAGCTCGGCTGCAGCTCGGGCAGAGCTGGACTCAGAACTGGGTGAGTGCAGGGCACCCCTCCCAGCCCCGGGCACCCCTCACAGCCCCGGGCACCCCTCACCAGCTCCCTGTGTCCCCAGTCCCTCTGGGACCCCCAGAACCCCCAGCTCAGAGCACCCCGTGCCCCCTCCAGCATCCACTGCAAGGACTGAGCGAGCTCCAATAACTTAAGTCAAGTTTATTTCTCAAAAGGGAGGCAAAGCTGAGAGCGACGCCGGGCTGGGGAGGGAATTCTAGGGGAAGAGGGGGTCTCCGGGGAGGACACCCCGGGGCTGGGCTGGCCCGGGGCTCCTGCAGCCTGTCCCCGGAGCCCCTGAGGAGAAGTGCCCGGGGCAGGGCAGGGGGCTGCGGGGCGGGGCTGGGCTCAGTCCCTGGCCGCGCCGGCCGGCAGCTCAGGCCACGGTCTTCTGGAGGTCCTCCAGCAAGCTGAGGAAACGGGCCTTGAGGCTCTCGGTGTAGGGGGTGAGGCGCTCCTTGAAGTCCTGCACCAGGGGCGTCATCTTCTCGCGCAGGTTGCTGAGCTGCTCCACCACCTTGGCCTGGTACTCGGCGGCCTGGGGGATGCCCTTCTCGCGGATCTCCTCCAGCTTCTGGCTCAGCTTCTGCCGCAGCTCGTCACTGAAGGGGGCCACGTTCTTGCGCAGCTCCTCGACGTGCCCGCGCAGGCGGTCCCGCGCCTCCTCGGCCACCGGGGTCAGCTTCTGCTGCAGCAGCTCCACCTTCTGCTTGCTGAGCTCCTTCAGCTCCTGGGCGAGGGGTGCCAGGCGCTGGCGGTACTGCTCCAGGTCCTCCGTCCACTTGGCAGAGAACTGGTCCAGGAAGGGCTTGATCTTCTCCTTCACCTCCTCCAGGTCCTTGGTCAGCTCCTTGCGCAGGGACTCGGTGTCCTTCAGCCACATCTCCCGCACCTCTTTGTAGTAGGGGGCCACGTCCTCTCTCAGCTTGGCGGCGGCCGCGCCCAGCGTGTCGAGGTTCTCGCCCAGCTTCAGGCTGTGGGACAGGAGAGGGGGGGTCACACACGGCCCCGGGGCCCCCCAGCCCCCCGCCACACACCCCCCACTTACTCCAGCTGTTTGCCCACGGTGGAGGCCTCGAACTGGGCAATGGCTTCCTTGCCGCTGGCCTTCACCGTCTCCAGGTAGACATCGAGCATGTCCTTGAGGCGATCCAGGGGTGCCTGGGGATCATCGTGCTGCCAGAAGGAGCGGGCCTGGGTGCCTGCGGAGAGAGCCGCCCGTGCTCAGGACACGCTGCCCGGGGCCGGCTCCAGCCCTGCCGCGGTCCTGCCCGGCCCGGAGGAACCAGGGAGCGCCGCGGCTGCAGCCCGGCTTGCGGAGCGCTTCGGGACCCGGCGGCTGCGGGCTCGGCCCCGTCCCGCCCGTGCCGCTCCATCCCGGGCAGCGCAGCCCCGGCCGGACCTACCCGTCAGGCAGAGCAGGGCGAGGGTCAGCACCACGGCTCTCATCTTCGCGCAGGACCTGCGGGCAGACACAGAGAGTTGGGCGCGGGGAGCCCCGGCAGAGCCAACCCGGGGGTCCCGATCCCCAGCCCGGCTCCGGGGGTCCCGGCCGAGGGGCACCGCTCCGTCCCTGCGGCTCCTGCGGGGCAGCCCGGGCTCTCACCAGCTCTCTCCACCGCTGCTGCTCGTCCCGTCTGAGCGGCCGGGGCTGCGGCGCCGCTATTTATGCCGGAGGGGCAGTTCCGCGGAGATAAGCCAGCGCGGCGGCCGCTCCGCGCTCCCGGCGGGGATGTGGCGCGCAGGGTCCAAGGATCGCGCAGCATCGCCGCGCGGCGCGGGCTTGGCAGGGGCGGCGAGCAAACAGGAGCTCCCCGCGGGACGCGCCTCGCCGGCCAAGGAGCTGTTTACGCTGCCGGTGACCCAGATTCCCGCTGGCCCCGGGGCCCCTCGCAGCCCCCAGGGGTTGGCCGCCGGCCCGGGGACAAGGTTTATTCCCGCAGGGATTTGGCCTGCCGTACCCGGACCCCTCGCCTCGGCCGCGGGGCTGTGCCCCGTCCTTCACGGGGCCGCTCACGTCACCCCTTTCCCCGCTGTGTGCCCGGGAGCTGCGCCCTGCCCGCCCACCCAGCCCCAGCTGCGGACCTGGGCAAGGGGAAGGCTCAGAGCGGCACCAGCACTGGCACGGCCGCCCCAAAGCCCCCTCGGCCCGAGCCAGCCCCAGGAGCTTCCCCGTGCCACTGCCACCAGGGCAGGGATGCGCAGGAATCAGGCTGAGCCCGGCCTGGCGAGGGGAGAGAGGGGACAGGGGGACAGGGGCCGTGTCCCCAGAGGGCTGCAGGGGTGTGCGGGGCTGGCAGTGCCAGGGGAGCTGCTGCAGAGCAATGATGCTCCCGTTGCTGGGTGGCTCCCTGCAGCCCCAGCCCGTGCAGCCCACAAGGGCATGGCACAGGAGTGCCACCGCAGGTGCTGCAGGCACGGCACAGCTCCCTGCGCCCCCCAGACCCTGCCCACAGCTGGAAAAGCCCCAGTGCAGTGGATGCAGCAGATGCAGGCTCTGCAGCGCTGCTGGAGCCACACCCGGGCTCTGGCTGCAGGGGGCTGCAGGAAACCCAGCCAGGGGGGGCTGCTGGGGACCAGGGGAAGTGACAGCGCCAGGGATGGACTGGGGACAGCAGCTGCCACCCTTTGAACTCTGGTGTTGAGCAACAAGGCAAACAAGAGCCCAGGGAAGATCATAATCATGGTTTTATTTGTTATGATCCCACTGTCCAACTAATTGACTAGTTGCAAGTGACCCACAAAAAATGGACTGAAGATTTACTGAAACTTTTTTTTTCCTGTTCGTTTTTAGTCCAACATAAATGAGGAAGAAAAAAAAATACTTCTGACATTTCCAAAAAACAGAAATAATAGCAAAGTATATTAATATACATTCAACATATACTGCGCGTATTGATTACTACAATACAAAGCCATGATAAAAAAAGTGTGATACTGCGGATGGCACGGTGACGGGGCAGCTGCTGCTGGGGGGGGCCCGGCGACTCTCCCAGGATACAGTGTCATGTAAACAAAAGGAAAACGAACCAAAGGGACAGAGCAAAAGGCTTTCAGCGTTTCCCACCCTCCCCGAGCCCCCAGGGCACGGCCGGGCTCGGAGCTTCCCTCCTGATTGCCGGGATCGCAGAGCTGCCAGCGTCGTTCTCCCGGAGAAGGGGAGGCCGGGAAGAGGCACGGGGTAAGGACAGCAAAGTCACCTCTGCCGTGCTGGTTTCACACTTCCTTCTGTGCAAAGTCAGGAGGGCTGGGTCGATGTTTCTTTTAGTTTTAAAAAATATTCCGGAAAAAAAATGTCAGTAAGAAGGATCTGAGCTGGAGCTTGTCAACTCCCAAAGGCAAGGGTGACACCACGAGCTCCTGAGCCCCAGGGCTGGGGGGCCTCCTGCTCTATCCACCACGGAAAGGATGGAAAAGGGACAAAGAAGAGACCTCTGCACGTCCCGACTGTATAAGGAGAATTACCACTGTCGCCACTGGCACGAGAGAAAACCAGTCACAAGTACAATGTCATTAAAAGAAATAAAATACTTTGAACAAAAGGTGCAAGTCACAATTCATATAGAACAGAATCTAGTTAAAAATTTCTCTCAAACAGAAATTCCTTTTGCCTTTTATTAATAACAATAATAATAAAACAACATTTACCAAAAAAAACAATTCCTACGTGATCAGGAGGAAAAGCGAAGGAAACAAAGAAAAATCCATCTGCCCTACATTAGCCAGGAAAAGAAAAAAACCCAAGTCGTGGCAGATTTGGAAAGAAAAGGGGAGGGAGGGCAGGGCAGGGGTGATCCTGTCAGCACCCCGACACACGAGAGGGACAGAGCAGACAGAGGTGAGACAAGAAGTGGATGCACCGGGGTGGGGAGGGCCCCGCCAGCCCTGCCAGGCCCAGACCCCCCAGTGCAGAGGGACAGAGAGGAAGGAGAGCGTGGCCTCCATCCAGGAGCAGCTCCAGCCCCCTTGCACCTGCCCAGGGCAGGCTCCAGGAAGGCTCAGCCCGGCGTGGGGCCCGGGCAGGGCCAGCCCCCAGAGCAGCCCCGGCGCCGAGGCCGATCCTCTGTGTCGGGCTCAGGGCTCTGGGTGTAGCTGGAGTTACAGGCAAGTGTGGCAGAAATTAAAGAACCCAAAGGAACGACACACTGGATGAAGTGAGGATGAGGAAAGGGGCCATGGTATTCCAGTTAGTCAGAAATACTACGGCAATTTGGCGCAATGCTGCTAGATACTGTTGGTTTAAAATGGACCTTTTCGTTTCAAAGCTGTACACAAACCCTGCAAGAGAGAGAAAGAGAGAGAAACAGAGCTGTTAGGGAACACCAGAATGGCACATCTCCTCCCACAGCCCTCCAGCACCCCCAGGCCACTCCTGACCCTGCCCCAGGAGAGAGACCCTGCCCTGCAGAGGGGTCTGAGTGCAGCACAAGCCTGGAAGGAGGGAGGCAGTCCCTGGGCACATGGGGGGACAGCAATCAGCTTCAGCACAGGAGGTCCGAGCAGAGGGCCCCAAGCCCAGCACTGGAGCAACGAGCAGGGAAGGCAACCCATGGGAGTGGTGTGGTGAGAGAAGGACACACGGATACTCACTCCCTCCTGGTTACACCCCTGCCTGCTCCATCCCAAAGGGCACCTCTGGGTGCTTGTAGCTCAGCAGGACGTCCGTGATACACGTCGAGGGGTAGCAGGAGGTGTTGAGGTGCTGGCTGCCATCGCCCAGGCTCGCGTGCTCTTGACCTTCCAAACTCTCCCCGCATTCT